ATTCTAGAGGTCTCTCTCCAGAATATCACACTCCCTCTTTTCGCTCTGATTTCTAGTCAGCCTAAGTGTCTCTCTCCCCTGCTTCCTCTTCCTTAGCACTTATCATGATCTTAACTCTTGCTTCTCGCTTTGATTTTCAATTTCCTGAAGTTAAGGACCTCTTCTTTACTACTTCTTCTCTAGTGCTTGGCTCATAAAGGCACTGGCAGTTGGTGACCATCTCAGCTTTCTGGGCTAAGGAGTTTGCTGAACGCAGGGCTTCTCCTTTCTAAACGAGGACAATCACGGGGAAACCACAATGTTTGGGCGCACTAGTTAGTAACTGTTATATGTGTGGCGTAGGTAAGTGAAAAAGAGCTTAGCATGCTAATTAGCTATAAAAATCTGTTGAGTTTTATTCATAAGGGTTTTACTCTTTTCTCCTTGCTTTATTTTAGTATCTCACTTTTGGCTGTCTAGTTTAAATGTGGCTTTAAGCAATGCTAAGGAAACTGCTGAAGAAGCCAGATATGGCATCTCTCCACAGCTGTGCTACGGTATGTTGGACACTAGCATTATTCTAAGCAGATCAGTTCAGCTTAAATTTACTATAGTATGCTGTTAGCCCATATTCCATTTCTCTAGCAATGTTAAGATAAGCAGAAGTTTTTCACTGAGATGAAATACAGGGATTATAGTGAGAGAGAGCCTCAGGACACAGGCGTGCCCAGCAGGAGGTGGGTCTGCCCTTCCCTGTGGGCCAGTCCTCAGACTGGCTTAATATGGGTGTTGGATATGTCACTCCTACAAAATTATTTATATGTGCAATGTGGTGAAGATTTTGAGTTTATTTATTTTTTTATTATTTTTGTGCTGGTCCTGGGCCTTGAACTCAGGACATAAGCTCTATCCCTGAACTCTTTAGCCACAGCTCCATTTCCAGCTTTTTTTTTTCCTTTTTTTTTTTGGTGTTTAGTTGGAGATAACAATCTCACAGACTTTCTCACGAAGGCTGGCCTTGAGCTGCAATCCTCAGATCTCAGCCTCTTGAGTAACTAGGATTATAAGTGTGAAGCACCAGAGCCCTGCTTGTTTTTTAGTTTTGTTTTGGTTTGTTTTGGTTTGGTTGTTTTTTTTTTTTTTTTTGTCAGTCGTGGGGCTTGAAATCTGGGCCTGGGCACTGTCCCTGAGCTCATCAGCTCAAGGAGAGCACTCTACCACTTGAGCCACAGTGCCACTTCCAGTTTTCTGGTGGTTAATTGGAGATACGAGTCTAACGGACTTTCCTGTTCAGCCTGACATTGAGCTATGATCCTCAGATCTCAGCCTCCTGAGTAGCTAGGATTACAGGCATGAGCCACTGGCCCCCAGCTCTACTTGTTTTTTTTTTGGTTGGTCATGGGGCTTGAACTCTGGACTTAGGTGCTGTTCCTGTGCTCTTCAGCTCAAGGCAAGTGCTCTACCGCTTGAGCCACAGTGCCACTTCAGGTTTTCTAGTAGTTTATTGGAGATAAGAGTCTCACGGACTTTCCTGCTCGAGCTGGCTTTGAACCTCAATCCTCAGATCTCAGCCTCCTGAGTAGCTAGAATTACAGGCATGAGCCACCGGCGCCTGGCTACTTGTTATATTTGTGCTAGACTAGCACTCTACCACTTTAGCTCCTACTTCTAATTAGTTTCTGAGTAGTGTCTTTTGTTTTTGTCCATGCAGGCCTTAGACCTCAGTCTCCTACATGTATCTCCCTTGTAGTTGGGATGACAGGCACATACATCACACATGGCTTATTGATTGAGATGTATCACTAACTTTTTTGTCCAACTGGACTGCAACCTCTGGGTCTCTGCCCCCCAGGTAGTTGGAATTATAGATATGTGCCATCATACCCAACCCCTAGGGACAGTAACTTTTAATGGACATCTACATATAATTGTTGACGTTTCAGGTAAGGCTTTGATTATGAGTTGTATCCATCAGATTTCCATTAATATAACAAAGCAAGTGAATTCATAGAAAAGGTTTATTTAGATCACAGTTTGAGAGGCTGGAAGTTCGAACAGCAATACCATATCCTGAGAGTGCACGCGTCCCTGTGTGTTTTCAGGTCTCCCTCTCTTCTTCCTCTTCTTCTTTTTTTTTTTTTGGCCGGTCTTGGGGCTTGAACTCAAGGCCTGGGCATTGTCCCTGAGCTTCTTTTGCTCAAGGCTAGCACTCTACCACTTGAGAGCTACAGCACCACTTCTACTTCCAGCTTTTTCTGTGTATGTGGTGCTGAGGAATGGAACCCAAGGCTTCATGCATGCTAGGCAAGCACTCTACCACTGAGCCACCTTCCCAGCCCCTCTCTTCTTATAAAGCCTCCAGGATTCAGTCATGAATACCCAATCCCATAACTTTCCTAAACATTTGATATACTACTATACTATATGTGAGGGAGGGTATCTGGGTCTCTCTTATGATGAATTGGTACTATGATAAGAGTTCTAATGCTTTATAAACTCTGAGGGAGCCAGGTGCCAGGCGCCGGTGGCTCATGTCTGTAATCCTGGCTACTCAAGAGACTGAGATCTGAGGATCACATTTCAAAGCCAGCCCAGGTAGAAAAGTCCACAAGACTGTTATCTACAATAAACTACTCAGAAAAACCGGAAAGTGGCACTTGGCTCAAGTGGTAGAGAACCTTGAGCAAAATAAGCTCAGAGATTTTGTCTAGGCCCTAAGTTCAAGCCCCAGGACCAGCAAAAATAATAGATAACCAGTGGCTCAGACCTGTAATCCTAGCTACTCAGGAAGCTGAGATCTGAGGATTGCAGTTCAAAGCCAACTTGGACAGGAAAGACCGTGAGACTCTAATCTCCAATAACCACCAGAAAACTGCAAGTAGCACTGTGGCTCAAAGTGGTAAGTGCTAACCCTGAGCAAAAGAGCTTGGAAACAGCGCCCAGGACCTGAGTTCAAGCCCCACAACTGACAAAAATAAAATAAACATTAATCAATTTATAAACTATGAGGGATCAGGGACAAGATCATTTGCCAAAAATCTTCCTAGAGTCTATAGATTTATGTTAGGGAATATAGCAATAAATGACCATCTCAAATTATCGTGCCGCCTAGCATTCTTATTCATAAGTATTTAATCACCCAAGTGAAGCAAAAACTTATGTTTGCTCAAAAACTTGTATATGAACATAGAATTGCCCACAAATGGGAACAACCAGATGTTTTTCAGTTGGTGGGTAAACACTGATGTACCCATACAATAAAATTGCAAAAGCTACTGATAGATGCTACAGTTGGGTGAATCTCAAAGCCTTAACTAACACTCAGCTCAAGATGCCAAATTCAAGACTGCAAACCATGGGAGTCCATCTGTGACGGTCTACGTAATAGACACAGCTGAAGGGACACGGCAGTCCTGTGGTCGCATAGAGGCTGATAGGGTAAAAGGAGGCTGAGGGAATGCTGGGATGATGGCCTCTCCTGTGTCTTGATTAGAGAAGTGTTAACACTGAGTCTATTTGTCAAACACATACATTAGAAAAGATACTTGTATAAATGGTATCTCCAGTTTTTGTTTTGTTTTTAAAACAAACCCGCAAATACTGCTCTAATGTGCATTTGGTCTATGGGAGTGTAGAAGAGGCATGTGGTGTGGTAGCTCTCATGGAAGGAGATGGGAGCCATTTCCTGGCTGCTGTGGAGAAGAAAGTGTCAGCTGTTTAATCTGAGAAGGTCATTTTCTCATTCTGGCCAAGGAAGGAGGTGCTCCTAAAATAGAAAGAGACTGGAAGGAGAAAACAGATACTTTGTGGCAGTCCATTATTTAAAAATCTGTCTTGGCACTTGACCTATATGTCATGCTCAAGGAATACTACTAGTAGTGTTTATTACCTGGACTTTCTTTTTTTGGCACGTGGTGAGAACATTTTAGCCTTGTAGATTGTGCCTGATTTAAAGGCAGGTTCAAATCCTGACTCTCATGTACTAGGTGTGTTGCTAGGTCAGTCACACAGCTTGGGCAAAGTACTTTACCATGTTTCTGGACTTGTTTAAGTGAAGACAGTAACATTACCTACTGCAGGTTATGGTGATGTGCCTTGTGTCTAGAAGAATAGCATAATTGTCAGCTGCTATTGGTATCTGTAGAGCAAGTGCCCCCGGGTTGTGTTTGTCTGTTTTGCCTGTACCAGGGCCGATGCTCTAGACTGGCTTAATCATACACAGGTGGCAGGCACTCTTACTTGAGCCATGCCTCCACCCTGGAGTTTCCTGGATCTGTCTGCTTAGGCTGGTTTCAAAGTTCAGTTCTCAGATCTCAGCCTCCTGACTAGCTAGGATTATAGGCGTGAGCCCCCAGTGCCCCGCTGCTTGTGTTTTTGAGTAGCTGACGTGAATAGGGAAGAAGTAATGGGAGAGAGGGAGCCGGATGGTAGCAAATCCTGTACCACCCTCAGTGCTGTGTCCCCTGCCGATCTGATCTCACTGAATCACCAGCACAAAGCAGAAGGGAGAGGGGGTGTTAGGGTTGTCAGATTGGGATTCTCATGTAGGGGCTAGCACCTTTACTGCTTCTTGTCACAGTCTGGATTAAGCATCAGAAATACACCTCCTCAACCACTCACATATAAACGTTCAGAATATAATGACCTAGAAACTGGCAGTTTGTAAACATATGTAAGTAGCCCCTCAATCACTAATTTTCCTATGAAATGCAACAGGAAGCTTGTATTATTGCCCACTAGCATTGAAGAACAGTGAACAGGTACTTTGATCCTCACAGTTCCTCGCTATGAGTACTGACAGTCAGTACTGCTGTGGTTTAGAGAGGAGTAGCGCTTGGCTCTAAGGCTTGTGTTTCTCATGAAGAAAACACTTGGGAATATGGGCATTCGGACTGCCCGTGTACTAAACGTCTTCGTGATGATGTCCTTGCATGGAAGCGCCAAGGCATGGAAGCCAGGCGTGTCGTGTTACTTTCTCTGCTGACCAGAACTGATAGGATACTTCCCACTTCTCTTCTTAGGAGCTCTTGTCCCTGGCAAAACGGAAGCGCAGTGACTCTGAGGAGAAGGAGCCACCCGTGAGCCAGCCTGCAGCTTCGTCAGACTCGGAGACGTCCGACAGTGACGATGAGGTGGGTGTGGAAGCCAGGCCAGTGAGATGGGTAGATAACCAGTCCCTGAGCTGGTAACAGCTGACCAGCCAAACTTCATGAAGCTAGGACTCCAGCCTAACATCTACTTGTTTAGAAAAAAAAAATTGTATACAGGAAACATCAGATGGGACAGTTTTTTTTAGAAAGATTAAGTCAAAGCCCAACAAATTAAGCACCAAGAAATGGGTACTTAGAGGACCAGGGCAAGGAGAGAGGGCTGGACAATGCAGGGGAAGCGGAGGAGAGTGCAGTCAAGAGTTCATTGTAATACCATAAAATTAATTTAAGGACTGGGAAGGTGGCTCAGTGGGAGAGCGCTTGCCTTGCATGCATGAGGCCCTGGGTTCGATTCCTCAGCACCACAGAAGCAGAAAAAGCTGGAAGTGGCACTGTGGCTCAAGTGGTAGAACGCTAGCCTTGAGTTGAAGAGCTGAGGGACAGAGCCTAGGCCCTGAGTTCAGCCCCATGACTGACAAAAAAAAAGAAAAGAAATGTAAGGAAGGGGCTGGGAAGGTGGCTCAGTGGTAGAGCGCTTGCCTTGCATGGCTGAAGCCCTGGGTTCAATTCCTTAGCACCACATAAGCAGAAAAAGCCAGAAGTGGAGCTGTGTGGCTCAAGTGAGCAGAAAGAGGCTCAGGGACAAGTGTCCAAGCCCTGAGTTCAAACCCTAGGACCAGCAAAAAGAAAGAAAGAAAGAGAGAGAAAGAAAGGAAGGTAAGGAAAGGATGGGTCAAAAGAGGATGGGATTGTTGAAGGGGGTGACATGGGTCAAGGTACATTGTACTCACATACTGCTTTGTTAAATGACGCCTCCCTCGTACAGCTACTAAGGGAAGCTCTGAATTGTCATATTTGATGCACTCCTAGATAGAGAACCTCTTCACAGGACATTCATAGCCGTTCTTCTTTTTTTTTTTTTTGGTTGGTCGTGGGGCCTGAACTCTGGGCCTGGGTGCTGTCCCTCAGCTCTTCAGCTCAAGGCAAGCACGCAACCTCTTGAGCCATAGCGCTACTTCCAGTTTTCTAGTGATTTATTGGACATAAGAGTCTCACAGACATTCCTGCCCAGGCTGGCTTTGAACCGTGATCTTCAGATCTCAGCCTCCTAAGTAGCTAGGATTGCAGGCGTGAGCCACTGGGACCAGCCTTGCCCCACTCGCCCCCGCCCCCCCATACTCTTATCTCCAAAGTGGAGATGTGGCTCAAGTGGTTGAGAGCTTGCCTTGAGCTGAAGAGCTGAGGGACAGCACCCAGGCCCAGAGTTCAAGCCCCACTACTGACAAAAAAAAAAAGTGCTCTTTCCCTGTACTGATTTCCTGGAGAGAGATAATACTACCTTTCTGTTTTATCTCTTCCACTGCTGTCTAGGAGAATAATTTTAACTGCAAACTTTTAAATGTTTACTACAATGAAAATTAATATTTCTATAAATTTAATGAAATTTAATTAACAGCTGAACAGCATTTACCAGTCCTCTGCATATGCAAATTATTTGAGTTCTGAATGACTATAGTAATATTCTCTTGGTCTTAAATATTTAATAGACCTAAAATTACTTTTCCTAGCAAGAGATAGTGAATGTTTATTTTTTTTAATTTAATGGAAAAGCTATAATTCTCTATGAATAAAATAACCCAATAAGTTCGAAAATCAGCAAGTCTATGGAGAAGTTTTAGTTTTGCTTCTGTTTTCTTTTTTTTTAATGCAGAGATAATTCAGGAAAATCGACATAATTTTCTGTCTCGGTATTTCTGCAAATACTTTTATTTTTCATTTTCAGATGTCAGCTGCTATGGTTCTCTTTCTCCCCCCTTCCCCCCCTCTCTATATATACATACATTCATACATATATATATACACACACACACACATACACACACACACACACATATTTTTTTTTTTTTGTCAGTCATGGGACTTGAACTCTGGGCATGGTCACTGTTTCTCTGCTCTTCAGCTCAAGGTGAAGGCTCTACCTTTTTTTAATTTTTTTTTGTCAGTCGTGGGGTTTGAACTCTGGGCCTGGGCGCTGTCCCTCAGCTCCTCAACCCAAGGTGAACGCTCTACCACTTGAGCCACAGCACCACTTCTGGTTTTCTGGTGGTTAATTGGAGATAAGAGTCTCACAGACTTTGCTGCCTGGGCTGACTTTGAACGGAGATCCTCAGATCTCAGCCTCCTGTGTAGCTAGGATTACAGGTGTGAGCCACCAATACCCACCTTCTATATTCTTCTTAAGTTTGAGTCTGTCTTGTGTCTAGAGTGCCTTGGGTTTGTGGGTTTTAATTCCCTTAAGACACAAGCAATAGGTGGGCACTGTGGTATATGCCTATAATCCTAATAGTGAGGAGGCTAAGACAGCAGGATTGGAAGTTTGAGGCTGGCCTGGGCTACATAGAGAAAACCTTCCTAAGGGGTGTAGGGGGAGAGAACAGGATAAAAGCAGTATCTATTCTTGGACCTCTTTCATTCACCTCTTGTCTATTGTTGAGTCAAAGTCTTCAGCATGCGGTTACTGTAGAGATTCGCTTTATCTTATTTGTTGTTTTAGACAGGGACTCACTGTGTTCCCTAGGTTAGTCTATGCTAGTCTTGAACTTGTTGGCTCAAACAGTCCTTCTGCTTCAGCCTCCCAGTAAGCTGATACTGTATGGTTTTTGCCACTATACTTGGCTTTTTCTTTGTCTTTGTGTGTATGTGTGTTGTTGTTGTTGTCTGGCCTTGGGCTCTTGCTTGGCTTTCTGGCTCACAGCATTAGCTGTAAGCCATACCTTCAGTCAGCATTTTGGCTGATGTGTATAGTGCACATTAAGTATAAGATCCAGTTAGAGAGACAATAGATGTGTTGATTGAAACCATTAAGTGGTTTCAGAATATGTATGTGGGTTTGTTCTGTTTTGTTTTTGTGCATGTGCTGGTCATGGGACTCAAACTCAGGGCCTGGGTGCTAGCCCTGAGTGTGTGTGTGTGTGTGTGTGTGTGTATATATGTGTGTGTGTGCTCTGAGTGTGTGTGTGTGTGTGTGTGTAGCCCTGAGTGTGTGTGTGTGTTAGCCAGTGTTGGATCTCTGTCCCTGAGTCTCTTTGTGTTCTGAGCAACTATTCTATCACTTGAGCCACATCACCACTTCGTGTTTTTTTGAATAGTTTATTAGAGATAAGAGTCTCACAAGCTGGGCACTGGTGGCTGCCACCTATAATCCTAGCTACTCAGGAGGCTGAGATCTGAGGATTGTTGGCTCAAAGCCAGCCTGGGTAAGAAGGTCCATGAAACTCTTCAATTAATCACCAGAAAACCAGACGTGGCGCTGTGGCTCAAGTGGTAGAGCGCTCACCTTCAGCTGAACAGCTCAGAAATATTGCACAGGCTCCAAAAAAAGCCTCGCAGACTTTTCTGCCTGGGTTGGATTCTGTGATCCTCAGATCTCAGCCTCCTGAGTAGCTAGGATGGTAGACATGAGCCACCAGCACCCAGCTTATGATTTTTTTTTTCTCAAGGCTAGCTCTTTAGCACTTGAACCACAGCTTCACTTTTGGTACTTTTTGGTGGCTAATTGGAGATAAAAGTGTTATGGAGGGGCTGGGAAGGTGGCTCAGTGGTAGAATGCTTGCCTGGCATGCATGAGGCTCTGGATTCGATTCCTCAGCACCACATAAACAGAAAAAGCTGGAAGTGGCGCTGTGGCTCCAGTGGTGGAGCGCTAGCCTTGAGCTGAAGAGCTGAGGGACAGCGCCCAGACCCAGAGTTCCGGCCCATGACCGCAAAGAAAAAAACCCAAAAACAAAAAGTGTCATGGAGATGAGCCAATGGCTTATGACTATAATCCTAGCTACAGTGGAGGCTGGCATCTGAGGATAATAGTTGAATGGTTTCCAGCCTGGGCAGGAAAGTTTGTGTGACTCTTTTCTCCAATTAACAACCAAAAGTAGAGCTGTCACTCCAGTGGTAAGTGCTAGCCTTGGGTGAAAAGCCAGAGACATCACTCAGGCCCATAGCTGAGCGCTGGTGGCTCACACCTGTAATCCTAGCTACTCAGGAGGCTGAGATCTGAGGATCGCGGTTCAAAGCCAGCCCGGGCAGGAGAGACCGTGAGACTCCTATCTCCAATAAACCACCAGAAAACTGGAAGTGGAGCTGTAGCTCAAGTGGTAGAGCGCTGGCCTTGAGCTGAAGAGCTGAGGGACAGCGCCCAGGCCCAGAGTTCAAGCCCCCCGACCGACCAAAAAAAAAAAACATACTTAGACCAGGAGGCATTCAGGAGACTCTGGTTATAGGAGTAAATGTAAAATACTAGAAATGTGATCCATAGTATAGGAAAAATGTCTGTGGATGATTATTACTACCCATTTAAATCTCTTTGAATAATTGAGACAGGTACCTAAGTTTTTGTCATTAAAATTGGATGGCAGTAAAAGTTGTTTGTTTTTTTTTTTCTGATTCTAGAGATCAGCTAGGGTTTGTCCACTGAAATATCCTGCTGTACGGCTGAGCTGTACCTCTAGCCCAGAAATGTATTTTTACGAATAAAGTGCTAATGTCCTACCCCCTGTCATGCACTGAGCTCCGGGTTCTTTGCCTTTGGCGTCACGAACCTCACTGAGTCAGCCTCCTGGGAGGCCAGGCAGCTTTGTCATCTTCATTTCTTGAGAAAATTTGCTGGGAGAAAACTTAAATACCATTCTCACATTCAGGCTTCGACAGGACAGCCCCTTGTAAATCAAAGCATCGTATTTCCTGCTATTTTACCCTGTTGTTTTCTAGTTCCTCTTTGAGACATAAATGGTTTATACTACAAAATGGCTGCCAGCAGTAGCCAACTGAAGCAGTGTTAGAAGGACAAGGAACCATGCAGTCAGTCTCCAGAACCTCCTGAGTTGGGTTTACTTTTTTTTTTTTTTTTTTGGCCAGTCCTGGGGCTTGAACTGGGCCTGGGTGCTGTCCCTGACCAGCTCTTCAGCTCAAGGCGAGCGCTCTACCACTTGTGCCACAGAGCCACTTCCAGCTTTTTTTGTTGGTGTGGTACTGAGGAATCGAACTCAGGGCTTCATGCATGCTAGTCAAGCACTCTGCCACTGAGCCACATTCCCAGCCCGGATTTACTTTTGTGACTTCACATTTAGAGCATTTTGCTCTCATAAACACTTCTACCACCACCCCACCCCCCACCCCGGAGTCTAGAGTTTAGCTCTGTCATTGGAAAACCAAATCTGTAGGCAAAAATAGAGCTGACCACTCTGGCACAGGTGTGACCCTGTAGCTCAGCCTTTCACTCATCCTCGTCATAGTCTCATTGAGTAGAAGGACAGAGGGCCACGACACTCTATCTGAACATCTACCACTTATATAACTGAGCAATAAATATTGAGGAGTATTTGCATAGTTTTGCTGTTGTAACAAGAGCCAGTGCAAAATAATACCTTACATGTTATTGATTCTAGTAAAATCCATATTGATGTATTTAGCTCAGTAGACTAAGAAATTGAACAATTTGGCCTATTTTGGGGTGTTTCAGACTGAAAATCAACACTCTTCCTTAGGAATTAGAATTTGAAGTGGCTAGAAACTCAGGGGTTTTTTTTGTTTGTTTGTTTTTGTTGTTTTTTGCCAGTCGTTGGGATTGAACTCTGGACCTGGGCACTGTCCCTCAGTTCTTCAGCTCAAGGCTAGCGCTCTACCACTTGAGCCACAGTGCCACTTCCTGCTTTTTCTGTTTATGTGGTGCTGAGGAATCGAACCCAGGGCCTCATGCATGTGAGGCAAGCGCTCTACCACTGAGCCACCTTCCTAGCCCCTCCTTCCTCTTTTAAATAAAACCTAACACACTAGCCTTTAGCAGTCCCTACTATCTCTGCAACAGAAAACATGAAAAACTTTTCTCAGTTTTAGATAACTTACCTGACTTGCCGTAAGATTGACACCTTTGCTTTTCTGTTGCAGTAATTAAAATATTAAATTTTATGTCTGGTAGACAGATTTCCTGCTATTACTCAGAAATTTCAAAGGTTACAGTTTGAACTGATGTTTAAAAAAAAATCTGCATTTTTGGGGTGGGAAGTTGGTTCAGTGGTAGTGTTTGCCTCGCATAAGTAGAAAAGGCCAGAAGTGGTGGTGTGGCTCAAGTGGTTGACCGGTCACCTTGAGCTGAATTGCTGAGGGACAGTGCCTGGGCCCAGAGTTCAGGCCTCACAACTGACCCAAAAAAAAAAAGTAATAGAGTGTCACAGTCATTTTGTGTGCAAGTGTGCACGTGAGCCCATACTGAAGCTTGAACTTAGAACACAGGCACTATTCCTTAGCCCTTTCGCTTAAGGCTGGCACTCTATCACTTGAGCCACACCTCCACTTTGGCTTTTTGCTGGTTAATTGGAGATTAGAGTCTCTCAGACCTTTCTGCCTAGGTTGGCTTTGTTCCTTAGATCTCAGTCTCTTGAATAGCTAGGGTTACAGGTATGAGCCATTGGTGTATGACTGTCCTTTTTAAATTATTATTATTATTTAAAAGGTGATATTCAGAGGGGTTCTAGCTATGTAAGTCAGGTAAAGAGTTCATTTCCTTTTGGAGTGACTGTCTTCTTTTTGGTAGGTTGTACAGCTTGAACTCAGGGCCTAGGGGCTGTCCCTGAGTCTCTTTGTGTTGAAGGCTAGCACTCTCCCACTTGAGCCATAGTGCCACTTCCAGATGTTGAGTATTTAATTGGAGATAAGTGTCTCATGGGGACTTTTCTGCCTGGATGGGCTTCAAATCTTGATTCTCAGATCTCAGCCTCCTGAGTAGCTAGGATGACAGGCCTGAGCTACCAGTGCCCAGGTTGTGGCTTTTTTTTTTTTTCTTTTCTTTTTTGGTACTGGGGATTGAACTCAGGACGTTGAGCTTGCTAGGCAAGTGCTTTACCACTGAGCTACATCCCAGACCATGGCTGTGATATTTATAAAATCAAAGATTCTTTTTTTTTTTTGAGTCCGGTCGTGGGGCCTGAACTCTGGGCCTGGGCGCTGTCCCTCAGCTCTTCAGCTCAAGGCTAGCACTCTACCACTTGAGCCACAGCGCCACTTCGGCTTTTTTTTCTTTTTGCTTATATGGTGCTGAGGAATCGAACCCAGGGCCTCAGGCTTGCAAGGCAAGCGCTCTACTGCTGAGCCACCTTCCCAGCCCCTAAAATCAAAGATTCTTAACTCTTTGGGGAAGATAATTTTTTTTTTAAGTAAGGTCTCCTGTATTGCCTAGGTTGGCCTCAAACTTGGTCTTTCTGCCTCTGCTTGTTAAGTTCTGGGATTACAGATGTGTACCACCATTCCTGGCTGAAGACTTAACTCAGGTTTTTCATTTATTTTCCCAGTGAAGTCCCTATTCCTATTTCAGTTTTTCTTTTCTTTTGTCATTGTAGTGGACATTTGGGAGCAATAAAAATAAGAAGAAAGGAAAAGCCAGAAAAATAGAGAAGAAGGGAACCATGAAGAAGCAAGCCAACAAAACTGCCTCCTCAGGCAGTTCAGACAAAGACAGCTCGGCTGAGAGCTCAGCACCCGAGGAAGGTAAGCTAAGGCCGCGTGGGGAGGGGGAGGGATGCGTTCCTGTTCGTGTCAGGGTAGACACAGAGGCAGACAAAGGGGAAGGCACAAGAGGCCCACCTGATGGCTCAACCTGTACCTTAGAGCAGTGGTTCTTAGCTTTTCTATGGTTGTGCATCCTTTGTGAACGTTGGAAGCATGTAATTCCTAAGAGTGGGTAAGGCCCGAGCCTGACCGTGACTCTGAAAGCAGTCCGTGGTGGTGTCCACCAGGCCTGCCAACGGCTGACCATGAAGGGGAGTCATGAATCAGTACAGAAGCCTCTAGAAAACCCATTTTTTAATTAAGCCAATGCCACTAGTTTAACATCTCAACAGTGATAATCTTTAAATTTCCAGGTTGTATGCAAGCTGACTGGTATGAAATTGGCCTCACCTGGTTTTAAGTCCATGCCTATAAGTATTGGCTCAAGCACAGTTCTTTTTTGTTTGTTCGTTTGGTTTTTTGTTAGTTGTGGGGCTTGAACTCTGAGACTGGGCACTGTCTCTCAGCTCTTCAGCTCAAGGCAAGTGCTCTACCCCTTGAGCCACAGTGCCACTTCTGGTTTTCTGAGTGGTTTATTGGAGATAAGAGTTTCACGGACTTTTCCTGCCCAGGCTGGCTTTGAACTGTAATCCTCAGATCTCAGCCTCCTGAGTAGCTAGGATGACAAGTGTGAGCCACCGGTACCTGGCCTAAAGCACAGTTCTTTTTTTCTTTTTTTTTTTTTGTCGGTCTTGGGGCCTGAACTCTGGGCCTGGGCGCTGTCCCTAAGCTCTTCAGCAAAAGGCTAGCACTCTACCACTTGAGCCACAGCTCCACTTCCAGCTTTTTCTGCTTATGTGGTGCTGAGGAATTGAACTCAGGGCCTCAAGCATGCCAGGCAAGCGCTCTACCACTGAGCCTCCTTCCCAGCCCCAGGCACAGTTCTTAAGTTCTCAATTTCATTAGTACTTGTTCATAGTGTGTGCTGTCTTCTTATACACTTTGTCCCGTCAAAATCCAATGTCATTAGGAAATCACTAATCAGTCATGAAATGGATCAGTGTTGCCGGGTGCCAGTGGCTCAGGCCTGTAATCCTAGCTACTCAAGAGGCTGAGCTCTGAGGGATCAAAGTTCATGACACCCTTATCGCCAACAAACTACTTAAAAAAAGCCAGAAGTGGAACTGTGGCTCAAATGGTAGAGCACTTGCCTTGAGCACAAAGAGGCTCAGGGACAGTGCTCAGGCCCTGAGTTCAAACCTCAGGACAAAGAAAAAAATAAAAATTGATCAGTGTTTTAAAATGCCAGGTGACCTGTTTGCATGTACCAAGAATGGCCCCCAGGGAGTTAAATTGGCCCTGTGCCATTTTACCTGGAAGAGCCAAAAGGCGATGATTGTCAACACTGGGATTGTTGTACCATGACGTGCTCCTCTGCTGGGCCTTTGTTGCAGGTGAAGTGTCAGATTCTGACAGCAACAGCTCCTCTTCTAGCTCCGACTCAGACTCATCCTCAGAGGATGAAGAGTTCCATGATGGCTATGGAGAGGATCTCATGGGAGACGAGGAAGACAGGGCTCGACTAGAACAGATGACAGAGAAGGAGAGAGAGCAAGAACTGTTCAACCGCATAGAGAAGCGGGAGGTGTTGAAAAGAAGGTAAGGCTGTGGTGCCCTGCGTTTGATGTTTCTTTGCTAGCCCTGCTTCTTTCCTTCCCATCTGACCTGTAGAAATGGTTTGGCTTTATGATGGTGTGAAGCTGCCTACACAGCCATTCTGTTCCGGTGCAGTTTTCAGTGAATGACATGGGCTTCTGAACACTTTTTCATAAAATAGCCTTTGTGTTACATGGTTATGCCCAGTTATACAATAATTTAAGTTTCTGAACATGTTTGAAGCAGGCTAGGCCAAGCTCTGATGTTCAGTACGGTAGGTGCATTTTTTAGCTACAGTACTTACGTTCCACTAGCAATGGGTTTATCAGGATGCATCCCATTGTAAGAAGAGGAGCCTCTGAATAGAGACTAGCATTTTGGAAATATGGTTGTTAACATAAGGAAAGCAAATAACATAGTTACAAGCTAGGTGCTGGTGGCTCACACCTGTAATGCTAGCTACTCAGGAGGCTGAGATATGAGGATCTTAGTTCAAAGACAGCCCAGGTAGGAAAGTCCATGAGACTCTTATTTCCAATAAACTACTCAGAAAAACCTAGAAGTGGTACTGTGGTTCAAGTGGTAGAGTGCTAGCCTTGAACACAAAGAGGCTCAGAGACAGCACCCAGGCCCTGAGTTCAAGCCCCAAGACTGGCAATAATAATAATAACAACAACATAGTTACATTTGGATCAGACTTACTGTTTACTCTTCTTCCATCAACTTTACTAATGTGCAGTAGTCCTGAGGTTTTCTTGATGAGACAGTTATGTGTGCTATTTAATCTTCACAACAGCCCTGTGAGAACAATTGATGATTCCTTGTTGGAGAGTAGGTAGAAACTTTGGCTTTAAAGACATTTTAAATGAATGAAGAGCAAGCTCTGAGCGGGCAGAGACTAATGTGTCTTCTTCTCTACGCTTTTCTTGGTGCTTGAATCATGACTAGTTCACATATAGCTGAGTACTTAAATATCTGTTGAATGGAAGACAACTTGTCACAGGTTATACGGCTGTAATCTGTGGGACTAGATTTCAAATCTGAGGCTATCTGACTCCATAAAACACATTGTGGCCACGTGGTGTTCTGTTTCCTGGTAACTTACCTATACTGAAACACACAGGCATTTACACATTCTTACAGAGAAAGATCAGCACGTGACTATTTTTATTTTTATTTTATGTATGTCTGTATGAATGTATTTTTGTGTCCGTAGTAGGGCTCGAACTCTGGGCCTTGAGTGCTTTCTGACTTTTTTACTCATGGTACTCTATACCATTTGAGCCACATCTCCAGTTCAGGCTTTTTGCTTGTTAAACGGAGAGTAGAATCTCTTGGCTATGTCTGCCTCAAGTTTCTCCAAATCTCACTCCTCAAATCTTGGTCTGGAATTACAGGCAAGAGTCACTGGCTCTTAGCTGCGTGATATTGTTTCTGCTGAAGACAGTAAGGAAGAGTTATAAGATGGTTTTGATTTTAGGAAGTAATAATTGAAAATACTGTGGAGGTCATATCAAATGATATAAATTGGATGAATAAATGGTAATTTACATATCTACAAACTGGCTTTCAGTTTATCAAGCTGCCAATAGAAATGATTTTCTAAAATTTCCACTTGGAATTCAAAAGATTCTAGCCATGGAAACTCTCACTATGGTAAAGTAGGTTGTCCAGCTTTCTGACATGGTTTTTGTACTTTTTAAAAGCTGTAATATTTGGGCTGAGAAACTGGCTTTTGTCTTGGAAAATAAAAGAACTAGAATTCTTTGCTATGTGTCCAGTATCAGGAAAATAAAATCCAAGTACTTTCTGAAACTGGCTAGTTAGTTCCCTTGCCTCAGGGCGGCCGTTAGTTATTCTGGAGGCCATATTACATGCGGTGAGTTATCCTAGACAAGAATGTTTGGCTTCCAGTCAACAGCAAGCAAGACATTTGTTTTGAGTGTGAAAGCCTCCAAGGTTACCTGTGTTGAAACAAATAGACATTAAGAAGCTCTGCTGGGTCTTAGTGGTAGAGTACTTTCCTAGCATGCCTGATGCCCTGAGTTCAATTCCACCCGCTACTTGAGAAATTTTTATTTCTCAAACTGTTGAGAGCATAACAAGAAGGCCTCATCAAGAGGACCAACAGCTGGCTCGCACCTGTAATCCCAGCTGATCAGGAGGCTGAGATCCGAGGATCACAGTTCAAAGCCAGCCTGGGCAGGATAGTGTGTGAGACTCTTATCTCCAATTAACTACCTGAAACCCGAGGAGGCTCAAAGTAAAAGAGTGCTCACGTTGAGCAGAAGAGCTCAGGGACAGTGCCTAGGCCCAGAGTTCAAGCCCCACAGCCAACAACAACAACAACAACAAAAAGAGGACTGACATCTGACTCACACATGTAATCCCTTTACTCAGGAGGCTGAGATCTGCGGATCAAGGTTCAAAGCCAACTTGGATAGGAAAGGCCGAGCAACTCTTATCTCCAGTTAGATACCTAAAATCCACAAATGGAACTGTGGCTCAAATGCTAGTAGAGCATTAGCCTTGAGCAAAAAGTTCAGGTACTGTGCCCAGGCTCTGAGTTCAGCCCCTACAGTAACAGACAAAAAAAGAGAAGACGACGACCAACAACAGAACATCAGGCTCACAAGTGAAGAGTGGTTTGTCTCAGACTTTGCGTACATATTCTTTTTTTGTTTGCTTGCCTTAATAATAGAATGAAAAGAGTATATCAGTATTGAATATATTATTTAAGAACTATGTGAAAATTTGGCAATGTTACTTACCATATAGAGATAAGAGTTGAATCTTTATCTAGCTGAGTGTGGTAGCACAAACATTGAATACCAGCTCTGAAAGGGTGAGGTAGGAACATGGAGATAGAGGCCAGACTAGGGTATATAGAAAGACTATACCTTGGGCTGGGAAGGTGACTCAGTGGAAGAGCGCTTGCCTTGCATGCCTGAGGCCCTGGGTTCGATTCCTCAGCACCACATAAGCAGAAAAGGCCAGTAGTGGTACTGTGACTCAAGTGGTAGAGCGCTACCTTAAGCTGAAGAGCTGAGGGACAGCACCCAGGCCCAGATTTCAAGCCCCATGACAGAAAGAAAGAAAAGAAAGGAAGGAAGGAGGAAGAAGGTCTCTATCTCAAAAATTAAAGAAAGAGCCGGGCGCTGGTGGCTCACGCCTATAATCCTAGCTATTCAGGAGGCTGAGATCTGAGGATCGCAGTTCAAAGCCAGCCCGGGCAAGAGAGAGCGTGAGACTCCTATCTCCAATAAACCACTGGAAAACCGGAAGTGGCGCTGTAGCTCAAGTGGTAGAGCGCTCGCCTTGAGATGAAGAGCTGAGGGACAGTGCCCAGGCCCAGAGTTCAATCGCCAACCAAAAAAAAAAAAAAAATTGAGAAAAAAAAAGCTTGGGCTGGGAAGGTGGCTCAGTGGTAGAGTGCTTGCCTTGCATGCATGAGGCCCTGGGTTCGATTCCTCAGCACCACATAAGCAGCAAAAAAAAGCCAGAAGTGGCGCTGTGGCTCAAGTGGTAGGATGCTAGCCTTGAGCTGAAGAGCTGAGGGACAGCGCCCAGGCCCAGAGTTCAGGCCCACGACCGGACCCCCCAAAAAAAAAAACCTTGGCGCCTGGTGGCTTACGCCTATAATCCTAGCTTCTCAGGAGGCTGAGATCTGAGGATCACAGTTCAAAGTCATCCCCGGTAGGAAAGTCCATGAGACTCTCATCTGTAATTAAGCCCTAGAAAACCGGAAGTGGTGCTGTTGCTCAAGTGGTAGAGCGCTCACCTTGAGCCCAAGAGCTCAGTGTCAGCATCCAGGCCCAGAGTTCAAGCCTCACAACCGATTAAAAAAAATTGGAAAAAAAATTTGTTTAACGTTTTATTCTGTAAAGTTTCCTGAGTTCACGAGAAGTTATATTTGTTTCATAAGAGCCCAATTTGTGTGTGTGTGCATGTGCACATGCTGCATACACATGCTGGTCCTGGTGCTTGAAATCAGGGCCTGGGTGCTATCCCTGAGCTGCTTTTTCTCAAGGCTAGCACTCTAACACTTGAGCCACAGTGCCACTTCTAGCTTTTTCTGTGTATGTGGTACTGAGGAGTCAAACCCAGGGCTTCACACATGCTAGGCGAGCATTCTACCACTGAGCCACCTTCTCATCCCTCCATTTTTTTTTAATGTACATAAAAGGTATTAGAATTTCTTGCAGGAAGCCAAACTTTATTAACTCCTATTTATTTCTTTCTCCTAACTAATAGAAATCAGCCTTTATGTAAATTTCCTGCTTTGTATAAATTTACTTCCTTTATATAAATTTTCATTTTTTTTAATATCTTTTAACCAGGTTTGAAATCAAGAAAAAACTAAAAACAGCCAAAAAAAAAGAAAAAAAAGAAAAAAAGAAAAAGCAAGAAGAGGAGCAGGAGAAGAAAAAGCTGACACAAATTCAAGAATCTCAGGTAGGGGCTGGGAAGGTAGCTCAGTGGTAGAGCGCTTGCCTCACATGCATGAGACCCTGGGTTTGATTCCTCAGCACCACATAAGCAGAAAAAGCCAGAAGTGGCACTGTGGCTCAAGTGGTAGAGCGCTAGCCTTGAGCCGAAGTGCTGAGGGACAGCGCCCAGGCTCAGAGTTCAAGCCCCAGGACTGACAAAAAAAAAGGAAGGGGCTGAGAAGTTGGCTTGAGGCCCTGGGTTCGATTCCTCAGCACCACATAAGCAAAAAGATAAAAGCCGGAAGTGGCGTTGTGGCTCAAGTGGTAGGGCACTAGCCTTGAGCTGAAGAGCTGAGGGACAGTGCCCAGGCCCAGAGTTCAGGCCCCATGACTGGACCAAAAAAAAAAAGGAAAGGGGGCGGGAAGAATCTCAGGTAGGAGGTTCTGCAGGCCTCCTCCTTTCTGAGTTCACTGTGTTCGGGTTGCTGATGTCAGAGGTGGCTTTATATGCATCAGCCCGTCCTAGTGAGTATAGCCTGTTAGGTGCTGTCTGCACGCTGTAATCTTTAGCAACTCTGACTGAAAACCTCTTAAACAGATGTCCAGCAGAGTGTGAGCTTTCCTTGAAGGAAAGTTGGTAGACTTCCTGTCCAATATAACTAAATGAGCTATGGTGTTTACTCTGGTGTGTGTCATATTAGACTGGATATAAATAGAACTGGGGAAATTAGTCATCTCTGTTCATGATGACATATCAACAAGTCCTAGGTCATAATCTAGGCTGTTCTTATAGAACAATTTTATTTGTGTAATTTTTTTTCTATGCTTGTCCTGGGGCTTGAACTCAGGGCTTGGGCACTGTCACTGAGGGTTTTTTGTTTTTTTTTTTTTTTTGCTCAAAGCTAGTCCTCTATCACTTAAGCCACAGCTCTATGTCCAGCTTTTTTGGTGGTTGGTTGGAGATAAGAATCTCATGGAGGGGCTGGAAAGGTGGCTCAGTGGTAAGCGCTTGCCTTGCATGCATGAAGCCCTGGGTTCGATTCCTCAGCACCACATAAGCAAAAAGAAAAAAGCCGGAAGTGGCGCTGTGGCTCAAGTGGTAGAGCGCTAGCCTTGAGCTGAAGAGCTGAGGGACAGCGCCCAGGCCCAGAGTTCAGGCCCCACGACCGGACCCAAAAAAAAAAAAAAGAATCTCATGGACTTTCTTGTCCTGGCTGACTTTGAACCATAACCCTCAGATCTCAGCCTCCTGAGTAGCTAGAGTTACAGGTGTGAACTGCCAGTGCCCAGCCATTAATTGTGAAATTCTTCAACTTGTGTATTAAGCAGATAAACTTGGATGTTTTTGCTGCTCTGTTCTCTTTGTCCACAAGAGGATGCTGTGTCCCCTGTACAAGTTTTAAGTTTGTGTCGTCAGTGTAGACTCATGAGGACTGAATTCATTGTTAAGTACAGAGAATCTTACCAACAGCCACCGTATGTATCCTTCCCTTCCAGGTAACATCCCACAACAAGGAACGACGTTCCAAGAGGGATGAGAAACTAGATAAGAAATCTCAAGCCATGGAGGAGCTGAAGGCAGAGCGAGAAAAACGGAAGAACAGAACAGGTAAGTGTGGGAAATGTAGTGGTCACTTTGATTTCCTGCTGCCACTTTTATTACCCCTTTATGACTGTTTATTATATTCCAAACATATGCTGAGAGTAGTATAATTATCCTCAATGATCCTACTATATACAGTCTACTGGTCATTCTTGCTCAATCCCTACTCCCCTTCTCTAATTAGATAATTTTTAAGTAAATCCCAACATCACTGTATTTCAGCTACAAGTATTTCAACATATGTCTCTTATACATAAAAGGCTTTTTAGGGTTTTTGTTTTGTTTCTTTCTTTCTTGGCACCTGTATGATTGTAACTCTCTTAATTCACAAGAACCCTGGTTACTACAGCCTGTCTAGGGAAGACACTACCCATTTGAGTCCTCTCCCATGAACATGAAAGATCATTCAGTGTGTTAATTGTGAGTAAAAATTGTTCCCTTCTTTCTAGCTGAGCTCCTCGCCAAGAAACAGCCATTAAAAACGAGTGAGGTGTACTCCGACGATGAGGAGGAGGAAGAGGACGACAAGTCCAGTGAAAAGTCAGACCGTTCCTCCCGAACATCCTCATCTGACGAAGAAGAAGAGTGAGTTGTGTCCTTGTGCTCTTGAAGGCAGGAGAGGTGGTTCTTTGCAGACTAGCTTGGTGTAGTTCTCAAAGCAAGCCTGTCTGGACCCTGCGCTCGCTTTGCTTCAGTCCCCTGGCCTACTGACCTCAGCTTCCAACACATCTGTTTGTTCTGCCTGGGGTTCCTGGCCAGCTCGCTGACATTTCACCCAGGCCTGGCTCACATGTGCCCCGTGGCTTCCACCCACTTGCTTTTCTTTTGCCAGTCCTGGGGCTTGAACTCAGGGCCTGGGCACTGCCACTGAGCCTCTTTTCCTCAAGACTAGCACTCTACCACTTGAGCTACCACAGCGCCACTTCTGGCTATTTCTGTGTATGTGGTACCGATGAATCTAACCTAGGGCTTCATGCATGCAGGCGAGCACTCTACCAAGCCACACTCCCAGCCCCAAAATCTGAATTATTATTTTTTTTTTTTGTAATTTTTTGATGGTGCTGGGTTTGAACTCAAGGCTTTGTGTTTATTAGGTAGGAGCTCTAGCTCTTGAGCCATGCCTGCAGCCACCTATTTTCTTTTTTTTTCTTTTCTTTTTTTTTTTTGTCGGTCGTGGGGCTTGAACTCTGGGCCTGGGCGCTGTCCCTCAGCTCTTCAGCTCAAGGCGAGCGCTCTACCTCTTGAGCTACAGCGCCACTTCCGGTGCCACCTATTTTCTTACCGGGGGTGAAGCCTTAGTCAAGACGCATCACAGTAATGGTTACAGGAAGCATGCTATTTTCCTGGTGTTTGTTTTCTCCTCTTAATCACCGGTACCTAGGGTTAGGGATTCATCCCTCTGTTCTCAGTTTTGCTGATACATACTTCTATTGCCCCTGGGTTCCTCACAGGAAAGAAGAGATCCCTCCAAAATCACAACCAGTCTCCCTACCTGAGGAATTGAATCGGGTTCGATTGTCACGGCATAAGCTAGAGCGTTGGTGTCACATGCCCTTCTTTGCAAAAACTGTCACAGGATGTTTTGTTCGGATTGGCATTGGAAACCACAACAGCAAACCAGTTTACCGGGTTGGTATTTCCTTCAACACTTGTCCATGTTTTAAGTGTAATGATTCCCAGATTGGGGGTGTTGCTCAAATGGTTGAATGCCTTCCTAGCCAGTGTAAGGCCTCAAGTTCAAACCCCAGTACTGCCCCCCCCCCCGAAAAAAAAGTATATATGTATATACGCTTCCCTTACTAGGAGTTGGGCTACTGAACAAATTGGTTACTCTTCTGCCACCACGTAACTATGTTAGCCAACATTCTTTCCTGTTACAACTACCTCAGGCTATTATTAAAAAAAAAAGAAGAAAATTGTTGTTCAGATTGTTGGCTGGACTTGTGATACAGTCCTGTAATCCCAGCACTTAAGAGGCTGAGGCGTGAGGATTGAGTTTTGATTCCATGGTTACAGAGCAAGACCTTGTCTCCAAAAACAACGTACAGTTGGCTTCTGGACTAGGTTCAGTGGCACAAGCCTGAAGTGCCAGATAACTTCTCTCTATTACCATGGGCACAAGGCTTCCTGTTCTTGGCCATGTGAATTCCAAACCAGAAACATGCCGGGGCTCTAGGGCGCAGGGCTACTCTGTGTTCAGGTGGAGAACAGATAGGAGTGGTGCAGAGAACCGGAGTAGTGTGTTTTTGACGCCTGTCTGTCTTTTCCCTAGGTGGCTGAGATCACAGGTGTGGTGGAAACTGCCAAAGTTTACCAGCTTGGTGGCACCAGAACAAACAAAGGGCTACAGCTGCGGTGAGAGGCACTACCTGTGACTCCGGTGTGATTTCTTGTGGCACGCAGCACTGGCGGTCCCCGTGGGCACCGCGGAGGGAGGCTTGTGTTCTGCCAGCCTGTGGGAAAGTTGCTCTCCCCCATGGGGCGCGAAGGGCGATGAAGTGGTAGGACACAGAGAAGGACCCTTCTGCCAGAGCCCTGCAGGCCTGGCTTGTGAGCATGGTCAGAGCCTGGCTTCTGGTCCAGCCCTCTCACCTCACTACCTGCATCGGTGAAGTCAGGGCACCTTTCCTGACTTAGTTTCCACTTCAGTAAAATGGAAGTGTCATTCACTCTACAGATACTCACTGCATGTCTACTATGTGCCAGGCACTGTTCTAGACATCAGGATAAAGGAGAGAACAAAACAGACATACACAAATCCCTGCCCTCTTGGAGCCTGAGAATTCTAAAGACCCCATATAGGAAGGAGTAGACCTAGTTTACCAGGATCACACTGCCAATGCAGGTAATAGCCATGACTGAACCCTGGCCTAATTTGATCACCATGGACTCTCCATTTCCCTCCTTCCTCCCTTCCCCATCATCTCCCCTGGTTTGTTTTAAAAGATACACCTGGGCTAGAGTGGCTAGAGAGTCACTAAGAGAACGGCACTGAGTCCCTTAACTTCGCCAAGACAGTAGTCAGTAGAAAGACCCTGCTCTCCCCCAGAGGGAACAGACTTGGTGTACCATTCGAGTCATCACATGATGCTGCATAGCACGGATTGGCTGCGGGGATTTGACTGTAAAGTGACTTTGAAGCACTGCCCAACTTCATCTGATTCCCTGTTAGCCTTGTCAGCTCTGGCCTGGCTGCCCCTTAAAACACCCTGGGAGGGACTGGAGGTGTGGCTCAAGTGGTAACATAACTGCAGAGCAAGCTCAAGGCCCACAATCCTGTACTGCCAAAAACAAAACAATGAACAAAAATTCTGTAGTTCGCATAAGTAGTGACTGATCAAATGAGATTGTAAAAGGCTAGTGGCTTGTGCCTATAATCCTAGCTACTCAGGAGAGTAAGATCTAGAGGATCACATTTACTAAGCCAACCTTAGACAGAAAAATCTGCTGGACTTCATGTCCAAAATAACCAGCAAGAAGCAGACTGGGGGCATGGTTCAAGTGATAGAGTACCAGCCAAGCAAGCAAACCATACCAGCACTGGGCCCTGAATTCAAGCCCTGGTAATAGCAAAACAAAAATCCTGGGAAGTTTATTGTGTCAGATTGATACTCCAGAGTTTGACTTGGTTGATCTTTGTTTAGCTCTTGAAGGCTGGTACTTTAGCCTTCAAGGATGTATAAGTCTAGATGATTTCCAAGGGCTGAGAAGCACAAAGGTCGAGGTGGGTAGTGTATACCACGCTATGGCTGCAGTTGACAAGCACATTCTTGGAGACACTTGTCCTTTTCATGCAGGCATGGCAATGACCAGCGAGTGTTCCGCCTAGAGTTTGTCTCAAACCAAGAATTCACCGAAAGTGAGTTCATGAAATGGAAAGAAGCGGTAAGTAGCTGGAGACCCCCCCACCCCCCAGCAGCTGTTCCAGAGCAGCAAGTCTGTTTCCTAAATATCTTACTAATAACTGCTTCACTGTTTTTTGCTCCAGATGTTCTCTGCTGGCATGCAGTTGCCCACTCTAGATGAAATTAATAAGAAGGAGTTATCTATTAAAGAAGCTCTCAATTATAAATTCAATGATCAGGACATTGAAGAGGTAAGAAGCCTGAACCCTAGAGCCTGGAGGTTCACTAAGAACCTTCTTCATAAGCCTTGAGCTGAAGAGCACAGGGACAGCGCCCAAGCCCAGAGGTCAAGCCCTACACCCAACCAAAGCAAGAGACTTTCATGACTTCCTTTTCTTGCCCTCTATCTTGACATTTTTTACTGTGCATGAAGATGAGCAAATCCTAGTATTGCATGAACTATAAACAGGCTTTTGGATATTCTCATCTGCAGATGAGACATCAACTCAAGTGCATTCAGGCTTTAGGGATGTATGTTCTCCTAGGTTTGGTCCTTCTAGAGCTTTCTGCAAAACCCTTTGATAAAAATCCTTTGATCTGTGTCCTCTTGGATAGTGCTAGCCTCATAGTGCCAGGATTTAGGCTGCTGCTGTGTATTGGTGTTTGTTCCTTCAAAATGTCCCAGAAGGACCTGCGGGAAGCAGCTTGATACCCCTTGGAATGAACTCACTTGCTCTCTGGGGCAAGACAGTGCTCTAGGAAGAACAGGCGCCTTTAACCTAGCAGCCTGCCTCCAAATGGGCTCGCTTAACCTGCCCACAGGAAATGGTGTGGGATGCCTCACTGCTGCTATCTCCTCTCTGTTCTCTCTGGTACAGATTGTAAAAGAAAAAGAAAGATTCAGGAAAGCTCCACCCAACTATGCGATGAAGAAGACTCAGCTGCTAAAGGAAAAAGTAAGGACCTGTTCAGCCTCTTTGCCTCTTCTGTTAGGGAATAGGGAATCAAAAGCTGCCTGTCCAGGCCAGGTGCAGGTGGCTCACGCCTGTAATCCTAGCTACTCAGGAGGCTGAGATCTGAGGATCACGGTTCAAGGCCAGCCCGGGCAGGAAAATCCATGAAACTTAACTCCAGTAAATCACCAGAGAACTGGAAGTGGCACTGTGGCTCAAGTAGTAGAGCACTTACCTTGAGCTGAAGAGCTGAGGGACAGCAAACGCCCAGGCCCAGAGTTCAAGCCCCATGACCAACAAAAAAAGTTTGTGCTCTAGCCCGGTGCTGGTGGCTCACGCCTGTAATCCTAGCTACTCAGGAGGCTGAGATCTGAGGATCGCAGTTCAAAGCCAGCCCAGGCAGGAAAGACCATGAGACTCCTATCTCCAATAAACCACCAGAAAACCGGAAGTGGCGCTGTAGCTCAAGTGGTAGAGCGCTCGCCTTGAGCTGAAGAGCTGAGGGACAGCGCCCAGGCCCAGAGTTCAAGCCCCACGACCGACCAAAAAAAAAAAAAATTTTGTGCTCTGTACGGTATTTTCACACACAAAAAAAACTTAATAATAATTTTTTTAAAAAAAAAAAAGAGGAAAAAGAAAAAGTTTGTGGCGGCAGGATTGGGAGAAGATTCTTGGCTAATTCTAAGCAATACAAAGCATTCTTAACATGTCCAAGTCGCATTCGTTCCTTGGCCATTTTCTTCTGTATAAATTGAAATTGATCTCGTTTATTGTGTTCTACGTACTTCCCAATACGGAGTTTGACATGTAGTAAGAAGAGTCTGGAGTCACATACCCTTGTCACATACCCATTGACCTTGTCCAGCCCACCTGGGGTAGAGCCTTGTTCTCCTTGCCAGTGGGTGAGGGGACTCTCATTAGGTTAGGGCATCTTAGCCCTGGGGGCCTGGGTTTCAGGGCCCACAGCCAGGTCACTAGGCGAAAGTTTATCCATGTGTCACTGTTCCTCCACATCCCAAGAGCTCTCGTGTCTCTCTGGATGCAGGCCATGGCTGAGGACCTCGGGGATCAGGACAAGGCCAAACAAATCCAAGACCAGCTCAACGAGCTGGAGGAGCGCGCAGAGGCCCTGGACCGCCAGCGGACCAAGAACATATCTGCTATCAGGTGTGTTACCACGCCTGTTTGGGGGCCCAGGGACCTTGGCGTCAGCGGTCCGGCCACCTGTAGCCTTGTACACATTGCTGGCCAGACTCCACAGATCTCAGTGGTTAGGGCTCCATGGCCCATCCCTCCTCTCACAACCCAGCATTCTGACTCATCCCTCTTACTCACCCACAGCTACATCAACCAGCGGAACCGGGAGTGGAACATTGTGGAGTCTGAGAAGGCCCTTGTGGTGAGTAAGACAACGACTTCATCTGAATCCCTGAAGCAGACATAATGTAATGGTAGGAAATCTTTTCTGCATGTTGCCCGAGTTCTTCCCATTTACTGCGATCAGCATGCACTTAGCGGGCATGCAGTGTTTCTATCACACAAACCTTGTATGATTTGTCCATGAAATGAAACGGACACATAGGGTCTTACCCTTCCTCCATGGCTATCAGTTTCTCATTTTTAGTTGTTATCCCCATCTACCCCGTGTGCTTTGGTGTTTTGTTTTGCTTTGCAGTGCCAGGGATTAAACCCTGGGGCCTCACGCATGCTAGGCCAAGTCCTGTACCCTGAGCCTCTGCTCCGATCTTCTCGAGGGAGAAGGATTTGATTTCTCTCGGTCCTTTTAAAATACATTATTTGTATGTAAGCCTCAGACAAATGCACACTCTGTTCCAGGCTGAAAGTCACAACATGAAAAACCAGCAGATGGATCCCTTCACCAGGCGGCAGTGTAAGCCCACCATCGTTTCCAATGTGAGTGCCCAGAGAGGATGTCTCCAGTTGGGAACCGAGATTCTAGGACATGAAATGAATCCCATTAGGGAACTAATAATGAAGTTAAAAATAATGTTTTCCTAGCTGGGATTTGCTTGCATTTATATACTTCCTTTTTTTATCTTGGTAGAGGGCATACGGGTAGTCAGAACCTGGTATGAGTTTGTGTAACTCTGCACCAGGGTGGGTGCAGAAGACTTCAGCACAGCGGCCAAAACGCTGAGGAGAGCCAGAAGTGTTGCAGAGCTTAGGAAATGTGGGAATATTCACAAATGTGTAGTGAGGTAGCTTGGGACGAGGTTCATTTATGTCTCATATGCAACATGTTTCTAGTGGGCCTGCATTTGGCCACACATAACGTCAGATGTGCAGTTTTCACTCGTAGCACCATGTTGTTTTTGGATATTGGAAGCATTTTGGAGTTTGGATCCCACTCCAGAAATGCTGAGCTCATAGCATGTTCTGTTGCGTGGACTTGGGTGGGCTGGGGTTAGTTTTGAAGCCTTTAGTTGCCTTATCTACTGCCTTTGAATCCTATGCAGACTTGGTAATGAGTCCACAGTGGTGCTTGTGATGTTGGAGGTAATAGATGTGAAAGAGTCTGGCAGCAGGACTCTGGATGTTTCACATCTCTATAATAACTTAAATTTTCTCTCAGTCCAGAGACCCGGCTGTTCAAGCTGCCATCTTAGCCCAGCTCAATGCGAAATATGGCTCTGGAGTGTTACCCGATGCTCCAAAGGAAATGAGCAAGGCAAGTGCCCTCCCACCCGGCTGCTCAGCGAGGATGCTGACTAGGACCTGAAATCACCTCACCTCACCTCCTGAGAGCCTGATGTTCCCACAGACAGGAACATGGACTTCTACCTAGCAGTCCTTCCTCTGTATGCCCTAGCTGTTGATGGTTGTGATCATGGTATTCAGAGAGAAACTGCCTATCTAAAAGCCACTTTCTCCCTCAGGTTTTTACCTGTGGAGCCCCAGCTGTCCTGGGAATTCCTGAAATCTTAGATCAGAAGGTGGCTAACTGTCTTAAGCCCACCCTTCCTACTCACACATGGCAGGCCCGAGCCTGCCTTCTCCGTTTCACTTTGTACTCTGAAAAGGCTCCTGTAGGTGGCCTCTCCTGTCCTCCCTCCCAAGAGAAAGAATCTGAAAAGCCTCGTAGAGCTGAGGATGTAGCTTAGTAGCAGTCCGCTATCATGGTATGGTCACAGCCCTGGGTTTCCCCCCAGCACTGCAGAGAAAAAAGTAACTTTGAAAGTTAATTTTAAAATTAATTTTAGGGCTGGGAAGGTGGCTCAGTGGTAGAGTGCTTGCCTCTCCTGCATGAGGCCCTGGGTTCGATTCCTCAGCACCACATATGCAGAAAAAAGCTGAAAGTGGTGCCATGGCTCAAGTGGTAGAACACTAGCCTTGAACTGAAGAGCTGAGGGATAGCGCCCAGGCCCAGCATTCAGGCCCCACGACCAACCACAAAAAAACAAAAACCTAAAATTAATTTTTTTTTGGTCATGGAGTTTGAACTCTGGTCCAGGGCGCTGTCCCTCAGCTCTTCAACTCAAGGCAAGTGCTCTACCCCTTGAGCCACAGCGCCACTTCCAGTTTTCTTAGTGGTTTACTAGAGATCAGAGTCTCATGGACTTTCCTGCCCAGGCTGGCTTTGAACCTCGATCCTCAGATCTCAGCCTCCTGAGTAGCTAGGATTACAGACGTGAGCCACCAGCCCCCGGCTAAAATTAATTTTAAAAAGTCAGGATAAGTTATGTAACTCAAGCAAGCACAAGGCCCTGAGTTCAAGCCTAGTATCAGACCCCAAAAATAAAAATAGATGTAAAGAGCATTAACAGGGAAATCTAATGAACCTGAACAAGGGCTTTGACACCAATGGCTGCCACTGCTTGAAATGTACTTAAATTTATGTTCTTACCTCTTCCTTTTCTCATTGCAGGGCCAGGGAAAAGACAAAGATTTGAATTCTAAGTCAGCCAGTGACCTCTCAGAAGACCTGTTCAAAGTCCATGATTTTGATGTGAAGATTGATTTACAGGTTCCCAGCTCAGGTACGTGTGGCATGGGTAGCTGGGTGCCAGACGAATCCCCGTCCCTCAGCCAGCGAGGAGGCCTGACCAGAGGGAAGAAGTGGGGTGTCTGCTCCCCAGTGCCTGTAGAGGCTGGGTCAGACAGGCCACCGGTGTGTTTCGAGATGGAGCAGACTGCAGTCAGATGCAAAGGCTCTCTCCTGTGTGCTGGGCTCTTCATACACCAGTCTGCTCTTCCTTCCCGCAGAGTCCAAGGCTCTGGCCATCACCTCCAAGGCCCCGCCAGCCAAGGATGGAGCTCCACGGAGATCTCTGAACTTAGAGGACTACAAAAAACGACGAGGGCTTATTTGAGCGCACCCAGCCTGCTGCCTCCAACCCTGCATGCCCCACCGGTGTCCCACCTCTCCTCTCCTCTTTTCCTTTGGTTTGCCCTCTGTGGGCTGGAGCAGCAGTAGAACTGGGAAGAGACTCTGAACTGCCAGTCATCTGTAATATAAACCATTCTCTGTATAGACCTCCCTTGTCTCCACCAACCCCTAGGCCCCACCCAGTGTGGATCTGGGCTGTCTCGGGTTTTCCAGGTCTTTAGATTTGTGTTTTGCCGGTTTTGGTTTTGTTTTTTTTTTTGTTTGTTTTGTTTTCTGGTTTTGGTTTTTCTTTAACCAGCACAGTTCATTGGCCACTCTGCACACATTCAGTATTACCATGGAGCTGGGATTCTTGCTGGACCCCTGGTGGCAATAGCAGCAGCGCTGGACAGTCTCCCTCCAGACTGCCGTGGGCCCATCCGTCGACCATTTGGCGCCCGACCCTTTCAAGGGAGTGGAGATGAGGCACCGTAACCCTCCTTCCTATCTCTCCCTTCTTTCCCTCTCTGTGGAAGAGGCATTTTCAAAACCAGTTTAGTTTCCAAAAAGTGTACATTTGTGGGGAGGGGGGGGGTCTAATTTGAGAGTGAGTGTGTGTGTATGTGTGTGTGTGCGTGCGTGTAGATGTGTGTGTGGATTTTTTTATCATTTTTTAAAAATGGAGTACTCTTTGTATCAGTCTGTCATGGGTCTATAGCTGTTTCAGATTTTTTTCAGCTGTACTTGAGCATCTGAAACTGCAAGAAAGAAACTCATTAAATGTGACTCTTCTTACTAAACAGGCCTGGCTGCTGTAGCTGTGTGACTCCCTCTCTGCCCCTTCCCCCCTCACCTCCCCACTGGGGCAACCAAACGCCTTCTGGTTCATTCCCCTGCCCTCAGCCGCGACCTGGCAGGCGGGAGGGAGATCCAGGGCAGTGCCAGGGGAGGCAGCAGAGGCGTCTGGCGCATCTCCTGCGCAGCTTCCTGGCTGGACATAGTATGTCTTGTTCCCACCCAGTTCTACCCATCTCCTCCTCCTGTTTTCATGTTTTGGCAAGAATAACATGTTGTTTTGTTTTCAAGATCATTCAACATGAATGTGGAGAGCAAACAAACAGATTAGGTTGCAAATGTCAGCAGCATGAGCCGAGTGTGCATATCCATGGTAAGCATATAGTGTTGTGCACGAGGGTGAAGCCAGCAGAAGTGTGTGTGTCATGATGAGATGTTTGGAAAGAGACCAGCTGACTGCTTGATAATCGTTCTCAGGTGTAAAGCTCCAAGTGTAAATAAAAGTGGCATTTAACAAATCTTTCCAGAACAAAGTAAGACTCACTATATATACCGAGAACTAAGCTAAAGAAACAGTGAGCGCTGACTTCTGTGGAAGGGAGAGGAAGCTCCGCTCTGCTCTACTCCGCTCTGCTTTCGTTTAACGAAGGGGGGGATGATGGGAAATCATGAGTTCCGTTGTATTTAAACATAAAAACAAACTCTGATCGCTCTTTCTGATTCAGTACAGCCTCAGTGTTGCTTTAACTTAGTTTACATTTTTTTTTTAACTCTTAAGGAAGCAGCAATGGATGGTTTTTATTGTGACTGTAAAATTGGTAACTATGACTGTAACACAGCTATGTGGTAGCTGGGACACAGCTGGGTTGGGCACAGGACTGGTGATGGACTCATTGAAATCATATATACTTGAACAGTCCATTGACCAAAGCTCTTTATAGACTATTGTGTAAATGTGGAATCACAGACTGTTAAATATTGCCGGGGCTCGGGCAGAGCCTTGGGGCTGCTGGAACCTCTCCTATCATGTCAAACAAACTTGGACTCCTTTTTCTCTTTCTGGTTTTAAAAGGCATAAAATCATAGAATCCATATGATTTGTGGGAGTCGTTCTGACCCACTGTGTAGATCTGTATTTAGTATCATTTGGATTTGGAAAAGTGTCAATTACATTATGGCTGTGTAATAAAATTTTTATTAAAACTGCATCACACTGTAGCACTTTACCACTGCTGCCCGCCCTTCCCCCACTGGCGCTGCTGCTCCCTTGCACGCCCAGAAGCCATAGCACAGGGCAGGGAGAAAAGCCAACCAGAGAAGACAAACGTGGCCAGCCCGGTCTCCCGTCTGGTGAGGGGGGTCAAGGCCCGGCATCTGCCTGCACTCTCTGCTGAGCTGGGGTCTTGGCCAGGTAGAGGATGCTAGATTGCCCTGCCGGCAGGCTTCTTGCTGAGCTCACTTCAGTATTGAAGGGAGTGGCACCCGCAATTGTGTCATACATTTTAGCTTAAGAACCAAAGCCAGATACCTAGCTCGTGATAGAGATATAAGATACGTAGACATAGAGAGACAGATATGTCTGTCTGCCTTGCTTCTGATGGGTGCAGCATAAGTGCTGTTTGCAGTTTCCCTTCACAGAGAACGCTGCTGCTGTTCTTGGTTTCTGTGAAGTCCTGACATGTCACTCAAATTGAACAGCTTTTTGTGAAGAAGCGTGGTGGCGTTGTAACAAAGGGATCAGATTTAGTCTGAGGCTCACATCCTGAGTAGCACCTCGTACAGCCGTGTTTGAAAGTCCAGTGGAACTCTTTTCTTCCTTTCCTTCTTTCCACTTCTAGCCCTGCACCCACTGAGTGAACCTTCCCCAGGCCTTAGCAGCCCGGTTTCCCAGAAGCCTCTCTGTAGAGTACTGCCTACACTAGAGCAGCCTCTGGATCTGTTTTCTTGCTGAGGCTTGGTAAGAGACCAGAAAGCTTTTACTGGGTAAGGTGGCTCCTAACACACCTAACCTCAGTGAGAATTCCACCCTCGCAGCTATTACATGGCCTAGGCACAGGATTTTTCCCCCCTCCTGTTTATTTTCTGTCCTGTGTTAAAACAGTGTCCTGTATAAGTGAGAGATCTGTGAGGGCCCCTGGCCTCAGTGTTGAGGCTGTTTATCTGAACATAGAAAGCAAGATCATCCCAGGTCATTGCCCCCTCCAGAGCTAGGAAGGTCCAAGTGGACAAGTGGTAGGCGCTGGGTCCAAGCTGCCTCAGGTTGGAGCAGCGGTTCATTGAGGCAGGGGGGAACTGGAGGGAGGTTGATGCAACTTTGAAAGCATGCTGGTCTACACAGACAGCTCAAGAAGGGAGGCCTGCAGCCTCGTGAAAGAGTGTTTGCCTAGCACACACAGGCCCTGGACGCACAACCTGTCAACACTGTGTTAAGCATTCTTGTCCCTCGGGGACTCGGTAAATGCTGGGGGAGAGAGGAGAGAGAGAAAGAGAGACAGAGTCTAAGCTTTGTAGAATTAGCCAATCTATCACCCAAATGTGATGGAGCAAAGACTACAGGAGAATAACATGGATATGGGACAAGACAGGATCAGGAACTAAAAGAGTAAATTTAGTTATAAAGCTAAGAAGTTGTGGGGCTGGGAAGGTGGCTCAGTGGTAGAGCGCTTGCCTTGCATGCCTGAGGCGCTGGGTTCGATTCCTCAGCACCACATAAGCAAAAAGAAAAAAGCTGGAAGTGGTGCTGTGGCTCAAGTGGTAGAGCGCTAGCCTTGAGCTGAAGAGCTGAGGGACAGTGCCCAGGCCCAGAGCTCAGGCCCCATGACTGGACCCCCCAAAAAAAAAAAAGCTAAGAAGTTGTAAGTTAATTAGGGTCCAGAATCCCTGGAGAACATTTCAGTGACCAGCTCAGACCAGACTAATGCAAGAGACTGCTTCAGAAATGTCAGGCCGGGAGAGGTGGCTCACACCTGTAATCCTAGTACTCAGGAGGCTGGAATTGCATTAGACTCTCTCCAGTTTAGCACCAAAATGCCAGACATGGATCTGTCTTAAATGGAAAAGCCTTGAGCAAAAAAAGCAATGGGACAGTGCCCAGGCCCTGAGTTCAGGCACCAGGAATTGGGCCATGCACACACACAAAGCCAGCTGTTGAGAATAGCAGGTGGAGCCTCTTAGTTCTTCGTAATCTTTAGAAGAAAGGGGATGGAGACAGACTTAACTGAACTACAGTTTCAGATCTGCAGATTCACCCCATGGCTCAGCTGGTCTACTGTGGTTGTTCTATACTTCATTTATATGGGGGCATTCAATCAAGTATAAAACATCACAGAGAACCAAGAGATCACACAACTGACCATACATCCTTTGCTAAACTGTACTTCATTTTGTTCAATTTTTTGTGTGTGTGTGGTGTGTGTGTATGTGGTATGTGTGTGTGTGGTGTGTGTGCTGGTACAGGGCCTAGGCATCGCTGTCCCTGAGCTTTTTTTGTTCAAGGCTAGCACTCTACCACATTGCCACAGCTCTACTTCTGGCTTTTTGGAGATAAGAGTCTCATACACTTCACTGTCTGGACTGGCTTTGTACTGTGATCTCAACCTCCTGAGTAGCTAGGACGAGAGGCATGAGCCACTGGCACCAGAATTCTGTCTTTTTTTTTTTTTTTTCTGTCAATAGTGGGGCTTGAACTCGGCCTGGGCGCTGTCCCTCAGCTTTTCAGCTCAAGATGAGCGTTCTACCACTTGAGCCACAGCATCACTTCCAGTTTTTTGGTGGTTTATTGGAGATAAGAGTCTCTCAGACTTTCCTGCCTGGCCTGGCTTTGAACCTCAATCCTCAGATCTCGGGCCCCTGAGTAGCTAGGATTACAGGCATGAGCCACCAGCACCCACTTCATCCACTTTTTAAGAACAATGCCTACCAAAAAAAGAGAATTTTGTACCAAAACAGCTCCAGGCTGAGATAAAAGGGTCTTTCTTATCTCCACAATTTAACTAGCAAAAGAGCTAGGAGAGCAGCTGTGGCTTAAGTAGCCTTGAGGATGGAAGATGGAGGAGAGAAGCCAAGTGATAGCTTTGAGGCCCTAATTTCAAGCCCCAGAACAGGCACCACCCCCACCCCCACACACATACAGGGGCTCCCACCTGGGGACTTGGGGAAGTGGGGGGACCTTGCCTCCAGGTTAGGGTTCTCATGGGCACCCAGTCTGGTATGGGGACCCTTCCAAAGAAGATGCCCTGGCTTGGCCTGTTCTTGTCATTCTGACTTTCCAACACACACTGCCTTTATTAGGAGACTACCTCCCCACCATGACCAGGAATCAAGTAAGAGTCCAACAGAGTTCTGATCCTTTCCATGGTAACTGCCTCCAAGCCTTCAAAAGAATCGTTTCTCCCTCCCCCGCTGCCCCACCTCCACTTCGCCCTGTCTTGCTGAGCACATGCAGAGCTCAAACAATGCTCAACCACACAAGCTCATTTACCTTGTCCCGAAGGCAATGGTCCGTCCATTTTCCCTGTCATGCTCCTCAAAGTCTACCTCAACACCCCCCACCTCCAGATTGCCTGTGCTCCTACTCCCTAAACTTGGCATTTACCATGAGGCACACCCCCAGCCTCCCCAGTGTCTTCCGGGCCTACCGCCCCCACCCGCCTGGCACACCATCCACACCCAATCAACAGGACCAGAACAAGGAGGGGGAGGAACCTAGCAGACTTCCTGCGGGGGTCTACATGTGCTGGGCCATTGGACCTCCAGAATGGCAGAATGAGTGAGGTAGTGTCAGGGGGAGGCTGCCTCCATCCGCAGCAGCAACGTAGGC